GACTGACCATTGTATACGAATATTTTATATGTAAAAAAAGTATTTATTAATACGAGTCATAGGATTTTTAGTATAAAAAAATATAATATCATTTTTCCTGCGTCAAATATATTATGTAATACACATCATCAGTCAGTTTAATATCTAAGTAATATTGTTACTCCTATATCATAAAGTTTCATTGCATCCCTTTTGTAGCATACTTATGTATGTAATATCAACAATTTACTTATTTTTAAAGCATACTGTACAACGAATTTTGTAACTAAAAGAAATAAAATTTTCCACTTTTATAATATATATTTTCTGATATCTCCTCCTACCATTAATAATCTAATTATCTTTGTTTTTATTACATGTTTAAATTGTTGTAATAGCAAGAATTCTTCAACAATTTTTATTTCAAAAAAATTATTATATCTAGATTTCTTTAATTAATTAAAAAAATTGTTATCTTTAATTACTTAAAACATAGAAACATAAACTTATTTTTTAGTACCGCTATCATCGGTGCATTTTAACGTACACGGCCGATCCGGTGGGGGGGGGGGGCATTTGAAAGCTATTTTCAAGATCTTCTTTTAATAAACAATGTGATCATGGATCTAAATAATTGCATAATATTTTTGTCTATTTCATGCTCAATCAATCAGCAGTGAGAGTCGATCAGTGCGAAAAAAAAAAGAGTGAGCTGAGACTGCTGGGAGTGGGGAAAGAGTGAGAGCGGAAGAGAGGTCATACAGTCACTGCCATTGATACTATCGGTGCTGTATAATATCTAATCGCCATCTACTATTCGCTGGAATTTATTCAATACTTTTAACCATCGATGGGTGTCAAAAATTGTTCGTTCACGAGACGAAAAGCGTGTTCTTAGTGTCAAGTGTGTTTTAATGACGTAAAAGACGAAAGACGTGTACGTACATATAATAAATAATATTATAAATAATACAAGTGAGAGAACAGGCAATAAAGTGGATGCGAGAGTCCTTTAGCTGTTATTCAAGAGCACGAGGATATGTAAATGCTCGAAGAGTCAAATTTTACGTGATCCCGTTCACATTTTTAAAGATTAGGTATGTACATGTTTTTCCATTATCTTATCCAAAATTTAGAGTAATATCTAATTGTAATTATTAGGTTATTGTACATAATATAACCTAAGTGAACACGTGTTAATTGGATTGAATAACTGTAAATCATTTACCAAGCGGCCGACGTGTTTCCTATGTTCCGAGGCGCGTGCAACGGAGAGAGCGCACGTCCCGGGAACGGGAGCGTGCGCGGTCTACCGGGCCGCGCTGGAGGAGTGCCGGAAGCAGACACGACAATGACAGGAATCCTACAAGGAAACCTGCGTAGGTGTGAGGCAGCCCAGCTGCTTATATCACAGACAGCGACGGAACGAAACGCAGACATACTGATACTGAGCGAGCAACTGTGGGACTTTCGAGAACAGGACGGCTGGTTCTCGAATACCCTCGGTACGTCGGCCATATGGGTCAGAGGCAAACCGGCTAGGAGAATACAGGTGTCTGGCAGGGGGGAAGATTACGCGTAGGTGAGGGTGGATGCCGTCACCTACGTCAGCGTATATCTGACCCCAAACTACACGATGGCAGTGTTCGAGGAAAAAGTCGGTAAGCTGGAAGACACCCTCACAAATCTCCCGGGTGACTTTGTCGTCGCGGGAGACATGAACGCGAGAGCGATCGAGTGGGGTATGACTACGACGGACAAACGAGGAAGGCTGCTTCTGGAGATGGCAGTAAGGCTTGATCTAGTAGTGGTCAACCAAGGGACGACAACGACCTATAGACGACCGGGCTTCGGATATTCAATACCCGATGTGACGATGACGTTAGACAGGACCTCGTCGCGGATAAGAGGATGGCGGGTGACCGAGGACTATACAGCCAGCGATCACCAACACATCGTCTTTGAGGTGACAGATCAATCGACGAACGTACGAAACGGACAAATTAGAGACAGGACTCCAACGTATTAGAACCTACGACGACAAGACAGAGAGCTGTTTGACAAACTGCTACAGGAGGCACCGTTACCCGCCGAGTCTGTCCCGGCAGAGCTTGGTCCGCGGGAGCGTGCCGAATGGATAACGGACAAGACAATGGAACTGATAACGGAACTGTGCGACGCCACAATGACTCGACGCAAGGGCCGAACGAACAAACGAGCAATGTACTGGTGGACGGACGAGATTGGCCTCCTCCGTAGGGAATGCATTGCCTGCCGCCGGAAGATGAATCGCGCGCGGAAAAAGAACAGACCAGGCGCGGACGAACTATCGACAGCGTACAAGACGGCACGTAAGAGACTGACTACTAAAATAAAGGACAGTAAAAACCGATGCGCCAAAGAGTTGTGTGAAGAAGTGAAGCGGGACCCCTGGGGACTTGGCTACAAGATTCTGACCAAGAAACTGGGGGCCCTAGGCCCTTCTGAACCAAAAGACAAAGACACCATGAAAGCAATAGTAGATGGACTTTTCCCAAGCCAACCAGAGACGGATAAAGTGACGAACGAACAAGAGACGACAGTATATTTAAAACGACCTGAATTTTTACGGAACATTCACTTAAAATGTACTCAAAAATCCAGCTTAGAAATCCATATAGATTCAATATGATCCAATGGATATCAAACTGGATCTTGTCAACAGGAAACCTAAAATAGCCGGTATATCCACATGAATTTTATATTTAGAATCCACCTGGATGGGCCACATAATCTATCTGAAAATACGTTCTAGATATCCACATGAAACCTATAAGAATCAATATGAATCCATATGGAAATACACCTGGATATCCATCTAGATTTTATCAACTAGGTGTCAATATTGAGGTTGAAGGATTAAGATAAGCGGGCTTGAAATTTACGAAATTAACATTCTAACTCTGTTGGACCACACATCAACCTAAAATTTGAATTTAAATTTAGTAAGATTGTGATTTGTAGGCTTAGAGTTTGTAGGTTCGGATTATGTGCGTTTGAGTTGATATGTATAAAAGGTTTCTTAGTATAAAGTTTTCTAACTATAATGAACTGTTTGATGTCTAAAAAATCGTTAATAGATTTTCATATAAAAAACCTGTTAAACTTAATAAGTTCAATATATGGGATATTTTAATAAAAAAGAAATATTTGAGCAAACTCAACAAAATTTGAAAGAATAAGAATTATACCTATGAGATATCGTGTATCAATTTATCGAAAAAAAGAAAAAAACATTACTACTTCAAATGCCACAAAAAATCGTGTTTTATGTATATTTATGTTATAATTATTTCAAAACCTGATGTTACAGAAGCAATTATACAGTTATATATAAAATAATATTGTTGATGATAAACAAATTTATGGATATTATTATTAATAGATATGATTACATGTCACAACTCTATGTCATTTTTATTAAATTTTTCTGCTTCTAATATTATAAAGTGTGTCCAAAAGATTTGCTTGAGCTTAGACTACTCTAAATTGTCATAGTTACAAGTCTTAACAAATTCTATTATTGTTTATTTTAACAGGAATCGTGCTTTAGATAAAGGCAAACCTGCATAATACGCTCAACATAAAACAAGATAGTTAATGATGATAAAAAGTAATTTTCTCTGTTTTTCTGCAACATTAGGGATCCAGTTATCACACACTTAACAACTTTATAATTTCAAAGTTCCTCCAATGTTGCCTTAGCATATTATGAACTTATGGTTGCAACATTTCAGTTATATTAATTTTGCAGACATTATTCATTATCCCAGAGTTGCTAGAATATTAGAGGGATTTCCAAGTAGTATTTTAAAAGTTGCAAGTTTACCATGATGAAAAGTTCCAGTAGTAACTGTTCTTGTCAGGGTTGAGATTAAATGAAGAGCTGTAAATATATCTATGAAAATTCAGACTTCATTTAGGATGACAAGAGAATTAGATCAGTTTTGAAATTATAACTGGAAAACATATTATCAACTTATGATTTTTCTTGAATTTTTACGGCAATGTTCTTACTCGTGCTCTTACAATTGCTCCTAAAAAGACATATTTTAAGAAGTTTGATGAAAAGTTCACCAATTGAATAGGAAATTATTTTATTTTTGATAACATACATATTTTATTAATGAATATTCTGAGTATTACAAAACCTCTCCAAAATTAATCAAAGATCACAATATTAGAATCAAAAGATATAGCTTTGTAATTTAACAATAGATTATATTATTCTGAAATGTCTTTCAATTTTCAAACTAAAAACATATAGCACAATTTATATCCAGCAAAGATTGATATTTAACATTAAGTTTTCTTTATAAATTATTTAGTTTTCTAATTTCTCTATTAGAAATTCAATATATTATGATTGAAAAGTTAATAAATTTTTTATTTTATAATAACTTATAGTTTGTTAGATTTAGTGTTTAATTTTTATTAAATTTTTGGTAGAGTAACTTTTTCCGACCTTAATAATTTACCAAAATATAACAAATCAACTTAAAAATTAAAAAAATCATACTACAAACTCAATGAATTTCAAATTTATATATTTCTAATTTTCCAATATTAATCAACTCCATATTTATTCATTATTTATGTATTTTTTTGAATAAACTTACAAAAGTATAAAAAACTATTAGTATCACTTAATTTTATTATCTTAATATGAATTATTATTAAATATATTTTTCATTGAATAGTATTAGCAAGATCCCATGTGTACATACCACATGTATAAATATATACATGTGTGTAGTGTGTTGTCAGTGAGTAATTTTCTTATATTTACACATATACATGTCTACACACACATATATATGTACATATCCATATATATATGTGTGCATGTGCGTGTATATGAACATATAATTCAAATATTTTTAACATGAAAATACTTATTGTAGTATAAAAACAGAGTCCTAACATTAACAAGCTAATCAGTATTGAAACTGAAAAAAAATGGTATTTTGTTGTAAACTTACAGGACTTAATATATAATCTTTTCCATGCCTATCATGAACCAGAAACAGCTCAGGTTTTGCTTGTGATAATCTTTTTGTCTGAGTCCATAAAGATGCTGGTATTAAAACTGGTAACAACATTTTTTGTGCATTTATATTAATCATTTCTTCATCTATAAAATTAATCAATTTTTGCAAAGCCTTTAGTCCCAATGGTAAGAAAGCAAAAAATCCAGTACTTGTATTATTAATTAGACCAGCATTGATCATTAACTGCAAAAATTTGAACGTATATTCAGATTTTAAATAAAATCTTTCAATTTATTTAAATTTAATACTCTATATAATTAATAAAACTAATTTTGTTTTCTAACCTCATAGCTTTTTGATGATAGATTTGACTGAGGTAAATTATTATGAGGTATAGATATTGTTGGTTGAAAAATATGTGATACTTTATGAATACTCTTCATTCTGACATTCACTTCATTGCCTTCAATAATAATAATAATAAGAAAAATAATAATAGTAATAAATACAAAATGACAATTTAATTAATTTTTATACAAAACAAATAAAGTAGCTCTGAACGATAACTTCTTATAATCTATAAAAATAGTGTAATTGTATAACAAATAGTAAATATTTTATGTTCTCAAGGAAACTATTCATCCTACTTCTTTAATTATTTGTGGCTCTGGCGTCGACTCGTTGAACTACGAGTCTGAGTTCCATACGGCATACGACCATCAACTGACTTTCGCGACTGCACGCTTTAAACTGACAAACCGATGCGAAAACAGCCATTTATTCACATAAAAGACATAATTAAGCAAAAATAAATTCACAGAAAAATTGTACCTTCTGTAGTCTAAATTGTACCATCAGTACAATTCTAAAAATTTGATTCTAAAAGAAATAATAGGACAATTACAAAGCTCTACGCCTGCGCAAAGTGCATTTCCGGATGCCATCCTTGTAAGTTGTAACAATTAGTGGTAATTTGTAATTGTCCTATTATTTCTTTTAGAAACAAATTTATAGAATTGTACTGATGGTACAATTTAGACTACAGAAGGTACAATTTTTCTGTGAATTTATTTTTGCTTAATTATGTCTTTTATGTGAATAAATAGGAGGTGAAGTATCGATAACGATATTTTTTATTTTTTATAAGAAATATAATGGTACAATAACAAATAATTATATTTTCGAGAAGTACAATTAGGCATACGTGAGATGTGATCATTTTTTGTAATAAAATGTTATTTGTATCGGGCTGTTTTCGCATCGGTACTGACAACTATTTATTCGTCTGCTTTCAGATTGAGCAACACAGGGCTGCACCTCCCTTACCTCAGCCCACAAAGTATAGTGGATAGTGAAAAAAAATACCATTCGAAATATCTCTAATTGAACCCACCAAAAATGATCATAATTTTAATTGAACCCTTTTAGTTATCGCAAAAAAAATTAAAACTATGTACATTTTTTGGTTTTTTGCAACTGCGATATTTTTAACAAGACTTAATAATTTTGCAAAGAAACAAGTCAAAAAAATTGAACCCTTGCTTGATTTTAATTGAACTCCTCTTATTTCTTTAAAATTATTAATATATACGTCAAAAACAACAATCTAATTTTATTGTATGTTCTTACTAAAAAGATTAGTTCGCGCGCATGCGTTTTAGTAAGAATATACAATAAAATTAGATTGTTGTTTTTGACGTATATATTAATAATGTTAAAGAAATAAGAGGAGTTCAATTAAAATGAGCAAGGGTTCAATTTTTTTGTCTTGTTTCTTTGCAAAAATATTAAATCTTGCTAAAAGTAAAGTAAAAGTCTGAATCAAAATAATGATCATTTTTAGAGGATTGGATTCAATCAAAGATATTTCGAATGGTATTTTTTTCACTGTCCACTACACTTTGTGGGCTGGAGTAAGGAGGATGCTGCTCCCGGGAGCGAAAATTGCGAGGAGTGAACCCTGCTAAAAATAAATTGTTGAAAATTATAAAAATGGATTAAACTTCAATCATTTTCAATAATTTTCAATGAAATGATTGATTTCCAATCCTGTCAAGAATTAAAGTTGAATCATGTTTAATACAATTAAATTCTAATCACAATTAATGCGAAAATTTAGGATTAATTTTAATATTTTTGAATCATTTTCAATAGTGCTTTCAGTGAAAAATAACTTAATAACATTTAATTTAATCTTTTTTAACATCTTTCAATATTTTCCAATCAATTATTCTATTTAATCACATTCATTCTAATACTTTTTAATGCCTTTCAATATTTTCCAATCACTTATACTAATTAATCACATCCAATCAAATAATTATTAATATATTTTAATAAATGCTTAGTACTTCAATTTCAATGACATTTAATAGAATATTTTATTATTCCTTTTAATAGTTTCCAATTAAACATCATATTTAGTCACATCTTATTCTAATACTTTTTAGTTCCTTTAAATATTTTCCAATCAAATATAATATTTGATCACATTTAATCGAATAATTATTGATATAAAACAATAAATATTAGTTCTGGGTTTCAATAACATTTAATCGAATATTTTTTATACTTTTTAATATTTTCCAATGAAACATCATATTTAGTCAAATTTTATTTTAATACTTTTTAATGCCTTTCAATATTTTCCAATCAAATATTATATTTGACCACATTTAGTCGAATAGTTTGTTATTTCTTTTAACATTTTCCAATGAAACACCATATTTAATCACATATAATCGAATAATTACATAGATCTGCATTGTTTTGTTCTTGGCCAAATGGGGATCATTTTTTAATTAATTTTTTGCATAGAATTTGAATCCGAACGTAGAATTTGTTTGTTAATCAATTTTTAAGAAACGCCTGTTTGTGTCTGTGTAGTATGTGTGTATCTCAATAACTAAATTTCTCTACCACAGAATTCAACGGACAAAGACTCATTCAATTCGTTTTTGCCGAATGAAGTATGCCAGTCCTTAATACATAGAAAAAAAAATATAATTTCTTTAATTTTTAGTTTTTTATTTTCTAACTTTTTTATATCAATTCCGAAGTATTTTATTATAGTATTTTATAAAAAACTGCTTCATCTGCAATTTGAAAAAAGACCTCCTTAGTGACCGTTAATGACGAAATCCCTTTTTTACAGACAAAATTTTCATATATCGGAAAATTTATAATTACATCATCAAAAATTTTAACTGATGATTAATTCTCTCATGATTAAACCAACGTCCAGTAATAGTCGATCAGGACATTATAACCCTAAGTTACTGATATATATAGGTCATTTCACGTCAACTCTGCAAGTCTCAAAACCCAGGAGAGTAAACGGCAAGCTTTAAACCCCGGCAGGGTTCGGTTTGTACACATAACAATTTTACACGATTTGATTAAACACAAACTATTTGACTTTATTTATTAAACACGAAAATTATTTATTGAACACGATAAATAAAATATAAATTAAAAAAAAAGTTAAATATTTTCCTACACGTAACTATTCGACACAAAATGAAATTGAAAATGTATTGATTTGAAATATTATACATATAGAAATCATACATAATCAAAGTTTATTTGATTACAAAAGTGTTGAATTTTGAACACGTTTATTTGTACATAATCAATTTAATATTCTACACGAATGAAATTTCGAATATTTTACAAAACTCATTTTTCTACACATACTTTTTCAAATACATACATTGTAAAAGATTCTACACGTCACATTTGGTTATTATCATATCAGATGAAAAACATGAACATTGTACACGTTTATGAATATTCACAAAATGTGTCAACTTTTATTAGACATAGCCTGTTATTAATTCTACTTAACGAATGTTTTTAAAAATCTAGATAAATTCATTCTACACAATGAAAAATAAAATTTTATTTCGCAACAGTTATGTTTAAAGTTTCGACATGTACTGATTTGATTACCAGTAATAATATTCTACACGGTTGATTTATACACCAGAATAAATCAGTTTTATTCTACACGAACAGTTTTTTATTTTACACGATGACTTTTTATTCTACACGATCAATTTTTATTCTACATAGTTGATTTTGTGTGATATGATAGCATACTTATATTATACACAAATGTTTTGTTATTCTACACGGTTAGTCCCACTCTTTCTCTTTATTGCAAAAAATCGAACGAATACTGTATTTCTCCAGGATATTATGTACCTCTTTGTATGTTGTTTTATTCAAGTTTGTTTCCAGTGTCCTTTTAAGATTAAAAACCCCGTTTCATTTATTTCGAATAAACGTCAAGTATCGTTACAACAATTCACATTTTAAATATACTCGTCGGGCGAGTCATATTGCACTGACGTAGCGGGCATGATAAAAATGTTCACGCTTACAATTTGACAGATAGTATTTTTGATAGCTGCAGTGAATAGCTGCATGAATTCAAATAAATATTGTTTTTGACAGCGAAAGCACCGAGGAACAATCCATGCTTTGCGCCTGTCGGAAGCACAAGTCCAAGAGTCAGTTCATCCAAGGACAGGCATCCGCCCACGAACATTACCTACCTTTATAAATTATATATATTATTGCAGTCCCGGGGTTGGTTTTACTTATTTAAACAATCAAAATCGTTCATTATAAAACTTAAATTATAAAAAATAAAATGATTCTCAACAAGAATTTGTTATAGTCCTATTGATATTTACAATTTCCAATTTATATCAGAATTTGTACTATTGTTTTCGTCATACATTGATATAACAATAATATCTTGTTATTATAAAAAAAAGTCATATTCTATTTCAATTTGACGTATATACAGGGTGGCCCATTTTAAGTGATCCACTCAGATATCTAGATTGGAGTGAGTTTTATCGAAAAAAGTTTCAGACAAAAGTTACTCAACTTTGAGGGGGCCATGTTTCTATGACCTTGGATTTGACCTTGGAGGTCATGTTCAAGGTCATTTCAAGGTCAACTTTGTTTTTTTAAATTGGAACCCCCATTTTTGACCCCGGATTCGGAAAGAGCGGGAAATTTTACGTCCAAAACGGTATTTTTAAATTTTTTTTCATGGCCTTGAGAAGGTCGATTTAAGGTCAAATGCTTGAAAAACTGCATAAAAGCGTTTTTTTAATTTTTAAGATATCGAAAAATGACCTCTACAAAATTTGTTCAGAACAGAGTGGGCCACCCAATGCACCAAAAACCTTTGACCTTTAACCGCATTTTGAAGGTCATTTCAAGGTCGAAGTGTTTTTTGTAATGGAAATCCCTCTTTTTAACCCCGGATACGCACATAGCGCGAAATCCGACGTTTGGATAAGGTATTGTGTTGAGTTTCGCGCTATGTGCGAATCCGGGGTCAAAAAGAGGGGTTTCCATTACAAAAAACACTTCGACCTTGAAATGACCTTCAAAATGAGGTTAAAGGTCAAAGGTTTTTGGTGCATTGGGTCGCCCACTCTATTCTGAACAAATTTTGTAGAGGTCATTTTTCGATATCTTAAAAATTAAAAAAATGCTTTTAGGCAGTTTTTCAAGCATTTGACCTTAAATCGACCTTCTCGAGGCCATGAAAAAAAATTTAAAAATACCGTTTTGGACGTAAAATTTCCCGCTCTTTCCGAATCCGGGGTCAAAAATGGGGGTTCCTATTTAAAAAAATAAAGTTGACCTTGAAATGACCTTGAACATGACCTCCAAGGTCAAATCCAAGGTCAT